TAGCAGTACTTCTTGTGAGTATTGTAGGTCTTTTATCAATTTTGAACATGTTCCAGTCTAGTGCATCCATTGTAGCAGTACTTCTTGTGAGTATTGTAGGTCTTTTTATCAATTTTGAACATGTTCCAGTCTAGTGCATCCATTGTAGCAGTACTTCTTGTGAGTATTGTAGGTCTTTTTATCAATTTTGAACATGTTCCAGTCTAGTGCATCCATTGTAGCAGAACTTCTTGTGAGTATTGTAGGTCTTTTTATCAATTTTGAAGGTAAGTTTTTTTTCATAAGAAAGTACCCTAAAAGCCTATATGAAATCTATATCAATCTCTGGATTGTTATCTGCTGCTGAGTGAATGTGCTTGTAAACATGCTAAGGATGGTACATTTTTTGTCACCAAAATCTATCATAATATAGAGAGTTGACCAAAAGATGGCAGAAAAAGAAATAACATTAATTGTACCCAAATGTATGACAGCTAATGTTGAGGTGTACCCAAAAGAGAAAATTGGAAGCTTTAATTTTTCTTTGAATGGCACAATATTAGGGTAATATTAGGGTACCTTTTTTCACAAGAATCATCTGTGTCCATGATCTGACTTTCTACTGTCTGAGGATCAATAGCCAAAGTCTTGTGGTACTGGATACCTAGGAGAGTTAGTAAAATTCAATGAATAAGAAAACAAGAGTATCTGCACAAGTTACAGAAATTAATTAAATGACATAGTTATTGAGCACCGCACACTTTTATTATGCAAGCTGCCTATATATGACATTTTGGTGCACTAATGACACATGGTATAAAGAAAATTTGCACAGTTGCATCATAAGATTGTCCCTTTTCCCAAACCATAAAAACTTTCATTATGTGAAAAATAATATAGAAAATACTGATTAAATCAACATCATAATGCAAGTGTTTTTTTAAAGTGCACAGATATTTCAAAAATAAACCCCTTCTTACACACCATTGGAACTTGCTATTCTAATTATAAAAAGATTGTTAAGACACTTAATCTATCCAGCTAGCTCAATCAACTATCAAAACAAACATAAGCATTATACACTGATGTTGAGGGGGGGTTCAACATGTTTCCTGTGGTCAATGTACCTGACTTGTAGGACCTGTTGAGATTTATTTCAACAATTACAACTAACTGTAATAACAGTAAAATTATGATAGGAATATTTTAAAGAACACCACTTATTCTTAGAAGACCACTCTTTTGTAGTAAAGTCCAACTGAAAAAATTAATTTTAAATTGGATAAAGACATAATTCAAGTGAGGAAAAAAAAGTATATCATACCCATACTGGGACTAATTGTGTCAATGGTAAAAGTTGCAGACATTTTTAGCGTACAGAATCTTACACATCTGAAGTGTGCTCAATCTAAATACAGTTTGGTTAACTAAAAAACCATAGCCATATCTTCACAACTATATCTGAATTAGATTAGACATTGACATAAAATTAGCCCATGACATTCAAGGAAGGAGGAAGCTGGATAAAGTTATGGTTACACATACAAATTCTGTAAACTTTTTTTTTAAGATATATATTTTTTACTTTGTTATTTTGAAACTAAAATGTCCTACACATATCTTTCTCCTACTAGCCAGACTGTCAGGAATAAATTTTTAATTTTAATTGATGTTGTTACGAAAACAACATCATACTATCTTCCAACATAATAAACATTTAAAAACTAAAAGCTTATTCATGTTTGCACATTTTCTCAGTAAGAAGATTTTAGCCTATAAATTCAAGTAAGTGTTGTCAAAACATTGAGAGAATAAAGATCCTGTTACAGCATTCTTAGTCTCATTGCTACCTTATTATCCATTTGTCAATATGAATAATACTCAGATAGCAACTTGTTCCACACATTAAGGAACCCACTGAAGAAATAAAATGTCACAACTGAGGATGTGTATGATCTTTCCAAATCTTAAATTTTTGAAATATTGTCCTTATAACCTCAGACTTGTACAATGCATCATTAAGCTTGTAACCAATATACTTATATGTACATATATATATATAACCTAAAATGCCATTAGCTATAGAACTGCCTATAAAAATTTACTATATGGTATTTCTATATCATGTAAAAATACTGTTATGGTAATATTGATAAAGATAAAGTTTTTAAATTTTGAAAAAGTTTTAACAAAAGACTTGGTAAGATAGCATTGTTATTATTATTATTAGTAGTAGTAGTAGTAGCAGCAGCAGTAATTATCTAGTGAAATGATATTTAAAATAATTATTGTACTTATATGCAAATACATGGTAAATAAACGTAACAAAGCACCACAAAATTAAACTGTTGAGAACATAAAGCAACAGTGTAACATCTTTCTTGATTACTGAGTTAGAAAGTTACATTATTGTGGTAGTTGGGTAGTTAACTTTACTCTTAATTAAGAGACTATATAGAATAGCTGATTAATTGGTTTGTTTTTATATTTTACTATTTAACATTTTGAAGTTATCTAATTGTCTTTACACTTTATTAGTTTTATATTAGGATATTGGCAGTGAGTAGTTAATATGATTTATTTTCTGCCTGAAAATTACTGATAGGTTGTATTTACAATTTGAGCCAATTCTTTTATATATCATTATAACGCAGCCACTTATGGAAGGTTTTTTTAAGTCCATTAACAATACGGTTCAATGGTAAGATGAATGTGTTCCATTTAGAATTACAGATTTATGGTTCACCATTCTACTAACAGAAGAATTAGTGGACAGTTTTTTTACTTTATTAGAAACGTACAATTTACTCTGTCACTTACACACAAAAAGAAGAGTCAAAGACCCAAATTTAAGGGACTGCAAACTTCAGATCATGGTCACTAAAATGACACCTATTTCATAATGTAGAATTTGACAATTTAGCAAAAAAAGTTATACAACTTAGGAGTTTACCCACCCGTTCTCTATAGAGTTTATTCTTCAGTTTCTCATACCACTTAAGGTTTAATCAAAACTTAGAAAATAATGTTCTACAATAACACTCAAGTCTCACATGAAGGTAGACCATAAATGGCTGCCAACTGATACCAAATGAAGAACATCTCTGCTTCAGACAAGCTCTTTAGAGGGTACTAAAACCACACCTATTACTACATTTTCACATGAGTTGTTTTTGAAATCTTATATTTTATCATGAGTCATTTGTTCCGATGATAGGATATCACAACCAAGTAATGTAGAAGATGACTCTTTACATCAGGAACTGTTATATTGTTATTTCTCTGGAGAGATAAGGCAGCATAAGATTTACAAACCATTCTAATTATCACAATTCTCCATTTGGCAATCAGTATGACACCTAGTCAGTGTCAGGCTTCTGATCAAAATACACTCACTAATTTTAAAGTTTAGCTTGAAATGGTCAAATGACAGTTTTACTTATAAACTCTTCTTGACATAAATGCTCCATACTGATCTCAAAATAAGCCAAAAAATTTTACATCCAAAGCTACAACATAATTGTAGCTTACAAAAAGAAAGTTATAGCAACCAACATCTACAATGTGCCATAACCTGTTCTTTACCTGCATATTTACCAGTACCAAATATCTGATCATCAGTCATCACATATCATCAACCAAAGTAACAAAGGATATATACAACTTCCTGGTTATCTTAATTATTGTAAAAAATTAATTTATGTTTATAAATTTAAAGTAAAGAAGGGATGAATGGATTATATAAATTTACTGTCTTACAGTACAATCATTGGTTACTCTTGCAAATGCCAAACACAATACAAATTATTACGACCATACATACAGTTTCATTAAACTGCTTTATAAATATTTCTTAGTTACAATATTTTAAACATTAATTGATATAACCTTTTACTTATTAATTAGCTATATATATATATTCCTATCATGTCTGCAGCAAATATTTAAATATATATATATATATTATATCCCAAACTTGCTGTTAATGAGATGTGTGAGAGTCCACAATCTTACTAACAGACCTCTGTACTCTCAACAGCTTAAACACTCAAAGTACCCGATGTTTTCGTTTTAATAATGCTGATATGAGATTGTCAACTCTTTAAATACAGCTCTTTCTTAGCATTCTGAGACTTTTTTACCCATTTTCAAAAAGCTTTGATTTTATCTTTATTTAAATCCTACTGATGTAATTTCAGAACCAAGTAATTTTAATTTACATTGCTTGATTTGTAAATTTACCTTTATAAACTACTGTAGTAAACTATGATCTTGTAAAGAATGGCCAAAACAATACAGGCATAGCTGAATAGCTTAATAATATGACCTGTTCAGTAATTATTCAGTTTGATCTGTGATTCCTAGTAACAATGGTTTAAACATGTACATGAATTCACTATTAGTGTGCGAGTTTATTTATTAGTTCCGCACTTCTGAAGCATTTTGTGGTGATGATGAGCTTATAATTTAAAAACAAAAATTTCTAACAATAAGATCCTCACAATAACAGTGTACAGAATATCCTAGTTACTTCAAATGTCTAGTTAGTAATTTGATTGTAATTTTGTAAGTTAGTCTACCTCTTCTATGCCAGAACAATATGCAAAAATTATTTAAAATTTCTTTTAAAGTTATTACATTTTCAACATATTGAGTACATTTCCTTTATATCTTAAATGTAAAAAAAAAAAAGAATGAATAATTAAACAGCTGGAAACTGAAATAAGGAAATAATAAATCAAGATCATAAACCAATCTTTATAGTCTGAGAAACAGAAAGGATTACCAAGATGAGCAGAACACTGAGCATGAGTAAAATGAGCAATGAGACTGATAGTGTATAAACTGAATAGAATAGAATGGATATTGATCAGGACACAGCATTAGCAAAGCTTATTTTAAATCTTTTAAAATGAAACACAGAGCCCCTGGAGGAAAAACAATATACTGATTTATTTTTTAGTGTAAATGCAGTAGGTACAAACAGTTCAGGCATAATGACTGTAGGTAATCAATCAATCTAAAAAAGATTCCAGGGAAAGGCAGTGCAGTACAGTTACCAAGTTTCAGCCATATTTTAAAACTCCTGGATAATAACTGGATAAATATTAAACAACATTTTTATGCACATATGCATCCATACAGTTGTTACCATTATTAGGTAAGTAATCCAGAAATTGACTCTTTATTGTCAGAAGCTAATAACCCCCACCCCTAAGAGTGAGGAGAGGAAGATCACAAGAAACAGCTAGATTACAGGAAATAAACAAACATGAATGGAAACCACAAAAAGGAGAAGTACAAGCAATATAGCAACTCACTGCTCATAGAGGACACAATCACGATCCAATTAGGAATAAAAATGTGAGATGGAAGGGATGGAGATAGGGTAAAAGGCAGATTCTCCTTCCCGGGCATGTTCTTTTTAGATGAATGCAAGAAACCAGATCGTATTAGGTAAGTAATCCAAGAACTGATTCCTCATTTTCAGCAGTTAGAAAGAAGCAGCCACCTATAAAAGAAACACTGAGACAGCAGAAGAGAGATGTAATAAAGCATCTTTTCAAAATTTTCCACATAATTCAGATTGTTGAGTGATGCCAAGAAAACAGAATTATTCTGGTTTTTTTTTGGTTTTTTTTGGCCATCTAGAGTATTTGTATGCTTTAACTGAAGAATGCACTACAAGACATGTAATTTTTGAGGAAATCCTTAATTCTACAAGCTCAAAGATGAAAACTATGAAGAAACTGTTCGAGACATACCAAGACTAACATTAGCAAAAGCCCTATAAAATTTCAGCTTTATTTTCTAGTGAAACTACTGTATCCATTGTTAAACACTTTAAATTTGTTACAAGCAACTGACCAGAGCCTTGATGTGACTCTCCATGTAGCAGTCTCTTAGAATCCCAATCCAAACCTCAAGAGAACAATATGATGACACAACAGTACAGAACAAATGTGTGAAGAAATTGTAAGTTGTATTCCTTGGAACCTAGATGACAACTCATCAGTGCGCATGTACCATCAAATGATAGAAACACACAAAAACAGAGAGTATTGTGAAATACCTGATCATACACGTGGATGGGTATGAATTTCCATTTCTGGCATGAAGTAGTTAATCTGTTGTAGTCTCTTAGTAATGTGCTTATAAAGTATATATTGAGACAATAAAAACTGCATAGATATGCAGTGTATGCAGAAATGAGCAGTTAGCTGAACTGAGCTTGATTAAACATGATGTTTCTTTAAAAGATGTGAATTAGTGAAAATACTAGAATTTCAACTAAATATTCTACTGTATGAAAGGTCCTATATTTATTACATGAGCTTGAATTATTTCTGCAAAAAGTGCAAACTGTGATCTACAATGGGGAAAGAATGACTAGAGAGTTTGGTAGAAATGACAATTATGCAAAAACTATTCAGAGATATCAACATATATATTTAAGCTGATGGTCACCCACAATGTTTGTAAACAGTGACAGAATGGTAAGAGATATGTAGAAACCTCTTACCAACAAATCACTACAGTTTCTATTTTTTAGTAATGTAAATCTATCATTTCAGGGTGTGAAATTCCACTTGTCCTACATTGTGAAACAGGTTGCTGGGACTTGATCATTTTAGCACCACATCATAACAGAGAACTTTTAAAACAAAGGAATGAATGGGTGCAGGAAAATATAATTTAGAGGGATGTTTAGCACAATATGCATCAGATCATTCCATAACGATTAACTAAATATGAAATAATCATTAGAAATTATAAAAAATAAAAGTATTATTTTTAATAAAAACTCTGGTCCAGGTATTATGGAAGTTGCTTTTTGGAAATATTATTTGTAATACCAGTAATCTCACATAGTCAGATTCTTTATGATAATCTAAACTGTGTTTTATTTACACATAGCCTTTTATTGTTAGTTCACTACTTCTCCCGATGATCATACAGTAGAATACTGCTGAAACATGTAGAGTTATCGAATGAGCCTGGTGTCTCTTTAATAAATTATTGATCACTTTTTACTTTGCAGTGCTTTTAAGCTTAGTAATAATTCAGTTGTATCAAATGTTATATTAAATCTCTTTCCTTTACTTAACAGTATAAATACTACACTCGTCACAAACAACAATCTTGTTTAACTCACCTGCACCAATCTGATATTTGTCTTCCTTTGAACCCGAGATGTGTTCTGAAAATGTCCCCTTCTCTCGTTCATTCATACCACCTAGAGTTGATGGTATGGAAGGTGCCACCTTTTTTTTCTCATCATCCTCAGCTGTCTGTTCACGACATACCTGAACCTGAGACTGCTGAGAAGTGCTTGTATGTGGTGTTTCCTTCTGTTCATCTGGAGAGCTAGCTTGTTGCAGTCCTTCCTGACTACTGGTGCTAGCTGGCTGATTCTCTTGAGTTTCAGTTGTTCCAATAAGTCTCGCTAGTCTCCGTTTACGAAGCTAGTTTATTAAAAGATAAAAACAACCTTCAACTCTTTCATTTTCTAAAAAAGGGCATGAAGAAACTCTTAAAATATCCACTATGAAAAAATAATAGTTTTGAACAATATGAAGTTCTATGATTGAGAATGAAAACTGCTAAATTTTAAGAATAATGCCTTTCAAAGTCAACTTCAAGTGCCTAAAACAATATTCCCACACCCTCACAAAATTTCCTAAACACAATGCAGTTTTTAAAATTAATTTAAGGAACATTTAAAATAGATTCTTACTTTTGAATGGTTAGTAACAAAATATTTTGGCAGACTACTGAATTGACTTCTCTAATTTTTATAATTCATTCCAGCATAATAAAATACGATAATATAAAACCCTAATTTCTGAATAATAGTTTCTCCAATACTAATTACCTCTGTTCATTATTACATTACTGTAGAGCATCTTATTTTTCACATCCTTGTTATAGAGACATGCATTTTGTTTACTCCAAGAAATCCATGGCCCCCTAGGGGTCATCTAGAGGTGCCCTTGCATTCAAAAAAATAACTTTTCTCAACAAATTATTTGCACGAGTTAATAATATCTGTAAGCAATGTCAGCAAGCTAAGTCCAGATGCTTTGATGTTAAATCAAAATGTAAATTTTGATTATTTACAAATTGATCACTTGTGTGACATTGCATTATAATAAGGCTAAATTTTTTAACAGATCTTCATTTACTGGCCCTATACAGATTACAGTAATAAGAATATAACAGTATCTTGATGACACACTTTGTTTGACACATCACTGTAGGTGAGGCTTTCAGTCAATACTAGAGCTCACGTCCAGCTAATCTGATGAACTCTGATACTAAATGCAAGGCTTTATTTGCAGGAATTTGCAATGCACAACGTAGGTGGTTGAGATACTACTATATCCTTGTTACTATAAACCTGTATTGGACCAGTAAAGAAAAACTTGTTTAAAATTACTAATTATTAATCTGTAATTACAGTACTTGTAGCTCATTTGGTGCCATGAATAACATTGAAATAAAGCATGGCTTATTCCTGTCAAGGATACTTATTTTTTCTCTTTCAAGCAATACAGTGAAAGGTATTTATCAATTATATGAAATATCAATAATCAGACTTGTCCATATTGACATAGTAGAATGGTTTTAGTATACTGGCATTTAAATCTAAAATATGGAATGCCGGGCAAAATAGATTCAATATGCAGTTTGCACTCTGTAATAGGCAAATACAAGCAAGTTATAAAACACTAGTAAAGTGGTATGTGACTATTAGGGATACAGAGAAGGGTGGATTTTTAGATCTCAAAAAGCCACATTTTGTTTTTAGTATAGATTAGGCTAATTAACTAGAAATTAAAACAAATTATCACTAAATAGTTGTTAAATAAAGGTTCATGCTACATTATGTCTCAAGGTCTTACACAAGAAACAAAATAAAAGGAGAAGAGAAGTGATTCTGTGCATAAGAAAGCTAATGAGATGCGAGACTAGCAAAAATAAGGAATGTTGTAGGATTAGTCTAAAAAAAAGAAAGTGTGTGTGTATACACATACGTGCATGCATATATTATGTCAAGGCCATAAAGAAAACTGTGAAATCAAGCCTGGAAAATGTCCAGTCAGATAATTTATTTAGTATACTGTTTCATACTGATCTATGTGATTAATAACAATCTTTCATTTGATAAGATATTTCTTGTACTTAGCCTTTAGTAAATGCAAAACTGAACTTCAACTTTATTCAAGCAGTATCTTCCTGTTTACATGAGTTTTACAGAAAGTAAAACAAAACACTTAAAACTTTGTGTCGTCAGAATTATGAATGTCTTCCATGAAATGTAATATTGCTAAAATAACAAGTTTTGTTTGTTATGCAAAAAAATAAAAATCCTCTCAAAGCCAGGTGATAAATGTCTGTGAAATCCAAAAAATACAAACTTGTTCTTTCAATTTATTTATTTTTCACAAGTTAATTGCATTACTTCTTCAAAATCAGATTATAGAAATGGATTTCTCAAGTGAAGTAACAACTTACAGAATCATTATAATATTACATAATCTTAAAATTAGAGATTGTATTGTTCCTTACTGCTTATATTATGTTTGATTAAATGTACAAAGTACTACAAATGATATTTTCACAACCTATGCAAAAAAGCCATTATGAAACATTTTTAGAGCCCAAACTTCTTGATATAACAAGTTGTTTATCCAGTATGATTTCTGTTGCTGCAAGCTGTGAAACAGATGTTAAGTATACATTATAATTAGGTAGAGCTGTTTAATGTGTGCATTTTGATAACATTATATATAGTAAAGTTTTTGAGGGGAAGGGCTGATTTATAATCTTTTTATTTGTGCCATTATTTGATATATATATATAAATATAATCAATTAAAATCTATCTCTAGATAATGGTCAGTTAGACAGATCATAAATGACAATTGTTATGTACATTTCAAGAACAATGCATACTTACATTGAGTGCTTATAAAAGAATAAATAACTGAATAAATAATAATAATATTAACAATGCATATTTTATGCCAATATTCTTCTCAGGTGAGCCCCTTCACAATATATTTATCAAGAGAAAATAATTATCTTTTATTTTTTCCTTTAATTTCCTACAAGTTCACTTTTAAATTGAGCTTTCAATAAATACCAATGGTTACTAACAATTTATTCTGGTGAACCAAGTTTGTTTTATGGTCCAAAACTTATCTTACAGTGGAAGACTACATTAGGGGGTTGAATATCTAACACTGATTGTAAGCATTCACAATCTTGTAAGCTCTTGTTATGTATATATTGTACATTATTCATATGTAAAATACATTTTCAAACTCTGAGAACTGTAAATGTGTGTCACATGCTTATAGCATTTTGAGTAAAACCTAGATCAACAGTCAGTTGAATAACACTGAATTCAGTTTATTACCAATCCTGAAATAAATTACCATATCTTAATATAAATCTATGAATAACATAAAATGGAACACGATACATGTACTTGTAATAATTATGAGTAAAATTATCTTGCTTTCAAGTGGTCATTAGGTAAGTCTGGTAAAAGAAGGACTGACAAGATCAGTGACCAAAAATCGATACACGGGTTAGTATTCAAGTAGTCTCAATGGAAGACAAAATGGAATTTTTTGACACCAAGTTCAGGTCAATGTGGTCTACAGAAACAAAAGGCAGATATTAACATTTTGGAGAGAGAGAGAGAGCAAATGAGTGCTGTTGTATACAGAGATTTTTACATGTGCAAATAAGATGATTAGAAAAGTCCTTTTAGTATGTAATAACAAAAATAGAATTTCATGCAATGACTTTTTTACAGTATTAATATTGGGAAAAAACTACTAAGAAAGTAAAAAAAATACATAACATCACAATTTCCTTATTATTTATCATAATCTACAGTTTTGAATATTTTCAAACTAATTATTAACAGAAAAACATCTCCCTAGAGTACTTCAAACGATAATGAAATATCACAATAAGACATATTGGAAAGGGATTGAAATAAGGAGTCAAAGGTCAACAAACCCATATCAGCATAATGAAGCAAAATGATACAGTATTATAAACATGAAATAAGAGCTGAATGTGTATTATTTAAAAAATGTTTGACTAGTTGCAAAAATATTTTTTTTTGCCATAAATTTTTTTCAAGATAATCCAAACATTTCTACTTGATGAATCACAAGATGAATCGCAAGACAAACACATTCATCATTTTTTGTTTGTTTTCAAAATATGCAGTAATCCTCTTTTAATCTTGTATAAATCAAATCAAATAAAAAATAAGTAAAACATGTTTTACTATCAATGATAACAGTAATAATGTTTTAATGTAAAACATATCATGATCACAATTAGAAATAAGTTGTTAGTTATCTAAGTACTTTTCTTTAATAGAATAAAAACAAAAATAATATTCAATAAAGATTTGAGTTGGAATATTTTGTCATCACCTATTGTACTCATTTAACCTAAGCTTATGTTTTTCATCAATGAAAATTTTTTAGCTTTCAAAAGATATAATTTAATACATAAACACTTTGATCAATGCAATGAGTGTTTATAGAAACTATAAACAAACTCCCAGCCCTGTTGTTTGTTTCTAACCCTTCAAAGCTTCCCATTGAACAGTTTTGGTAAGTGCTACAGGTGATCTTACAAGAAGATTTCCCAGGAAACCATATACTATTACTTAAAAACCACTTTATCTACTCTACTAAGGCATGAAAAGTAAAGTTCTTGTTCTATCCAATCATATCTTAACTTTAATCATGCTTCGAGATGGCTTGAATGGGTAATGAAGAAAAACTTATATTAAAGTTTTTTTTGTTACCCATTCAAGCCGTCTCCAGCCATTATTAGTCTCAAAGTGGGTTCCTCGTCATCGAACAAGTTATATACATTTAGTTCTTTGGATCAAATATACAACTGCTTGTGAAAAACTACATCAAAGCAGTCAATCTCTTGACGGTGAACACAGCTTATACAAAACTAAATTTAGGTATCAAGGTACTTTAGGTACATCTTCACTACACAACAGGACAATAAGCTTAACAGGATGTTCTAGACAATCATGGGTATAAAATTAGTCATTTTGTACACAGCATTAGCCTAGTGCAAAGGAAACAAACACTGTTATTTTTGAACTAACAAAATGCTGATTCCACACTTTTCTAACCTTATTACATGTATATGTTTATTTGTCATTGTACATTAGGCCAAAAAAATAGTGTTTGACATAACAATTCCATGAAATATGAGGGTTGGTAGATAATAACCTTATTAAACATTTTTACACAGGAATGTAGCATACCATTATTAAAGTAGATAGTCCTTTCGATTTGATATGTGCAGTCACATGTGCATACACAGGCATACGTGTAATACTAATTGCATATGCTACTTGTCATATGCATGAAAGGCCATATTCAGTCACACATCAATTTACGATT